AACAATGTTCTGGGAGGTGCCCACTCTCTCTCAGGTGCTTAGAGTTCTGATGCTATAATTGGCTAGTTTGACCATCACCCTGCGGGCTCTAAAGAAGACCTCCTGGAGGCAGAACTCTCTCTGACTGCTGGTTGAGGAAGATGTGCTGCTGAAAGAGACACGGGCTCCTGAGACACGCGTTGCTGGGAAAGAGACACTGAGGGACCAGCACTGCTGGGAAAGAGACTGTGAGAGACTCTTGGCTAAGGGACGGTGGGCTGGGAGAGAGACTGAGCGTTCTTCCTGAACTTGAGTTGTAGCCTGGTATTTCCCTAATAAACCCTGTAATCTGTGAGTTCTATGTGGCCACTGCAGCAAATTATCAAACCCAGGAGAGAGGTGGTGGGTGCTTTGGGAGGAACGGTTGGTCAAAGGGCTGGAGGGAGGCAGCATGTTTGGCCTTGCAGTAATAGGACTTGGGTTACTGCTGGTAATCCTGCCTTCCCCTTGTAGGGTTAGAGGAGGTCAGAACATGTGGCCTCCTCGCCGTTTTTGCAGATAACATACGTAGTCACTTTTTAATTACTGAGGCAGGTAACTTAGCCACCACTATTGACAATTTTTCATAAGGCTAGTTCAAAATATGTATCTCAAATAAATGATATTTCACTTCTTTTAATAAATATTTTATTTGGTAAGTCTCCCTTTATTTCATTCTGTCATTCTCCTCAAGTCAAGACATCAAATAAAGATGTTTTTGAAATGTCTCAAATTCTACAGCATTCTGCTCTGTAGTACGAAAACCAGAAAGATGCTTCATGTTCTCAGTTTCTTAAAGTAAAGCATATATATTTATTTACTTTAACTTCTTTATTCCCTTTGGAGATAATAAGACAACACAAAATTCAAAGATCCTAATGGAAAATGCTAGAGAACAATTATATCCTGGTTAAACTCTTCTAACAGACTTTCTCCTAACTAATAGAATAAATTTAATTCCACTGGGGTTTCTTTTACTGTTATAATAAGCAACTTTGTTGTTGTCTTTGTGGATTGTTCATACCATACTTCAAACAAAAGTCTTCAACAAATATTTGCCAAACCCCTAACCTGGGTCCATTATGAGCCCCAGTGATACTACAGGGATCAAAGCCATACATGATCTCTGCTTCATGGAGCTAATGGTCTAGAGGTGAAATTTTGATCAAACAGTCACAGCAATAAGTGTGTAATTATGAACTGTAACAATATTTGTGAAGGAAAATTTCACAGGTCTATGACAGTAGACAAATCGGCTAAGAAACAGCCATGTGTGCAGCTAGTTAATTAAGTGAAGATGGGTAAAAGGGTTCCTAAGAACACTCAAAAACCAAAAAACCAAACTCACTGCTATCAAGTCGTTTCCAACTCATAGCACCCCCACTGTGTTTCCGAGGCTATAAATCTTTACAGAAGTAGATCGCCCTGTCTTCTTTCCGCAGAGCAGCTGGTGGCTTTGAATCACTGACCTTCCAGTTAGCAATCAAGTGCCTTATCCTTTATGCCACCAGAGCTCCCTAAGAACACTAGGCAGAGAAAGTAACATATGCAAAGGCCTTGCGGTAGAAATATAATTTCAGCCAGTGAAGCTAAAGCACAGAGAGAAGGAATGGCAAAAGATGATGCTAAAGTGGGAGGCAGGGACTACAATACATAAGTCTGCAGAGCACTAAGAGTCCTCAAAAAGGTTTTAAGCAGGAAGTTATATAGATTAGACTGGTATCCTAAATACAAGAATCCAAGTACAGTATAAAGAATGAAGGGCAAAAGTAGATATGAACAGAATATTAAGAAGCATTCTTGAGAGAAATGATGGTAGCCTAGATTTGTGGGGATGGAGATGAAGAGAAATGGGCAAATTTGAGAACTATTTAGGATAGTAAATTGATAGACTGGTGATGGGTTGAATGTGGGGAGTGAGGAAAAAGGAAGTGTCTAAGGAAAGAGCTAGCCTACGGATGTACAATGATGTCAGTTTCTGATTATAACAAAGAAGAACTCACAAGATTATCATGAGTTCCATTTTAGGAATACTGCTTTGAAGTGTCTGTGAAGCATCCATGCGGAGATGTCTAACTAGCTGGCTATTTGATAACTGGACCTGCAGTAAAAAAGAATGTTTGGTTTGGAAATAAAAATGGAGTCAACAGCCTGGGCATGGGTGATAGCCTAGGGAAAACATAAGGAATAAAGTAAAAACTGAAGAGAAGGCACTAAAAAACCCTTGAGGAACTCCAAATTGATTGGCCATCTAGAGGAGCTCTGGTGGCATAGTAGATAAGGCATTTGGCTGGTAACCAAAAGGTCATTGGTTCAAACCCACCAGCCGCTCCATGGAAGGAATATGGGGCAATTTACTTCTGTAAAGATTTAGAGCCTCAGAAACCCAGTGGAGGTTGCTATAAGTTGGAATCCACTCAAGGATGTTAAGGTTTGGTTTGGCTTTTTGGTTTTATAGAGAGAGCAAAGCCAAAAGAGGCACAGCAAGAGAAAGAAGAGGAAAACCAGGTGAATATAGTCCAGTGGCATGGAAGCCAGGTGAATAACGTGTCTAAAGAAAGAGGTTAAGAGAGCAACAAAGAGATCTTGGAGAAGAATGTGTGTGTGTGTGTGTGTGTAAATGTATGTATGTGTAAGTGTGTATATGTATGTATATATATATGTTGTTATTTGCCCAATTATGTGTGTGTGTGTGTGTGTATTTTGTTGTTGTTGTTGTCAGATGCCATCCACATGGTTCTGACTCAGAGACCCTATATACAACAGAACAAAACACTGCCCAGTCCCGCACCATCCTTACAATCGTTGCCATGCTTGAGCCTACTGTTGCAGCCACTGTGTCAATCCATCTTTTTGAGGGTCATCCTCTTTCTCATTGAACCTTGACTTTACCAAGCTAGGCGTACTTCTGCAGGAACTGGTTACATCTGGTAACACTTTCAAAGCATGTGAGATGAAATCTCACCATCCTCGCTTCTAAGAAGCATTCTGGGTGTACATCTTCCAAGACAAGTAGTTTTTCTAGCAGTCCATGGTATATTCAATATTCTTTGCCAAGAATTTTAAAGGCATCAATTTTTCTTTGGTCTTCCATATCCATTGTCCAGCTTTCATATACATATGATGTGACTGGAAATACCATGGCTTAGGTCGGGCATACTTTCATCCTCAAGGTGATATCTTTGCTTTTTAACACTTTAAAGAGGTCTTTTGTAGCAGATTTGCCCAGTGCAATACATCATTTAATGTCCTGACTGCTGCTTCCATAGGCATTGATCACTGATTCAAGTAAAATGAAATTACCTTTTTTTTTTCTTTAGACGTTGAAGTAATCCATATGAAGGCTACTCTTTGACCTTCCGCAGTAAGTGGTTCATGTCCTCCTTGCTTTCAGCAAACAAGATTGTGTCATTTGCATATCATAGGTTGATAACAAGTCTTCCACCAATCCTGATGCTGTGTTCTCCTTCATATAGTCCAGCTTCTCAAATTATCTGCTCAGCACAAAGACTGAATAAGTATGGTGAAAGGGTACAACCCTGATGCACACCTTTCCTAATTTTAAACCATGCAGTATCCCCTTGTTCTGTTCAAATAACTGCCTCTTGACTATAGGTTCCACATGAGCACAACTGAACGTTCTGGAATTCCCATTCTTTGCATAGTTGAATGCCTTTGCATTTAATAAAATACAAGTAAACATCTTCCTGGTATTCCTTGCTTTCAGCCAAGATCCACCTGACACAGCAATGATATTTCTCATTCTACGTCTTCTTCTGAATCAGGCTTGAATTTCTGGCAGTCCTCTGTTGATGTAGTACTGCAACTGTTTTTGAATTATCTTCAGCAAGACTGGGAGCTCTAGTGGCGTAGTGCCTAAGGCATTTGACTGCTAACCAGAAGGCTGGCGGTTCAAACCCACCAGCTGTTCCTTGGAAGGAAGATTGGGCAATCTACTTCCGTAAAGATACTGCCTTGGAAACGCAAAGAGGGGTCGCTATGAGTCGAACCAACTCAATGACAGTGAGTTCATTTTCTTCCCCCCAAGCAAGGCTTTTCTTGCATGCGGTATTAATAACACTGTTTGATAATTTCTGTATTCAGTGGGATCCCCCATTTTTGGAATGGGCAGAAATATGGATCTCTTCCAGTCAGTTAGCCAAACAGTTCCCTTCCAATTTTCTTGGCATAGATGAGGGAGTTCTTCTAGTGTTGCATCCGTTTGTTGAAACATTTCAGTGGGTATTTCATCAGTTCCTGGAGCCCTGCTTGTCACCAATGCCTTCAGTGTAGCTTGGACTTCTTCCTTCACTACCATAGGTTGCTGATCATATGCTACCTCCTGAAATGGATGAACATCAACTAATTCTTTTAGGTGCAGTGACTCTGTATTCCTTCTATCTTCTTTTGATGTTCCCTGCATCATTCAATATTTTGCTCACAGAATTTTTAAACATTACAACTCAAGGCTTGAATTTGTTCTTCAGATCTTTCAGCTTGAAAAATGCCAAATGTGTACTTCCCCTTTGGTTTTCTAACTCCAGGTCTTCGCACATTTCATTATAATACTTTACACTGTCTTTTCAAGCCGCTCTTTGAAATCTTGCGTTCAGCTCTTTTACTTCATCAAATTTTCCTTTTCTTTAGTTACTCTATGCTCAAGACCAAGTTTCAGAATCTCTTCTGATATCCATTTTGGTCTTTTCTTTCTTTCCTGTCTTTGTAATGATCTTTTGTTTTCTTTATGTATAATGTCCTTGATGTCATTCCAAAACACATCTGGACTTCGGTCATTAGTGTTCAATGAATCAAATTTATTCTTCAGATGATCTCTAAATTAAGATGGGATATCAAGGTTGTATTTGGTTCTTATGGACTTGTTTTAATTTTCTTCAGCTTCAACTTGAACTTGCATATAAGCAATTGATGGTCTATTCTGCAGTTAGTCCCTAGCCATATTCCAAATGATGATATTGAACTCTCCTTCCACAGATGTGGTTGATTTCATTCCTGTGTATTCCATCTGGCTAGGTCTATGTGTATAGTTGCCACTTATGTTGTTAACAAAAGGTATTTGCAATGAATGAGTCATTGGTCTTGCAAAATTCTATTATACAATTTCTTTCAGCATTGGTGTCTATCACCAAAGCTGCATTTTCCAACTACTGATCCTTCTTTATTTTCAACTTCTACATTCCAACACCAGTAATTATCAATGCATCTTGCTTTCATGTTTGATCAATTCATACTGAATATGTTAAAAATCTTTAATTTCTTCATCTTTAGCATTAGTGACAGGTGCATAAATCTGAATAATAGTTGTATTAACTGCTCTTCCTTGTAGGTGTATACACAGTGTTATACTTCAGAACAGATCCTGAAATGTTCTTTTTGACAATCAATATGACACCATTCCTCTTCAAATTGTCATGCCTCACATGGTAGACTATACAGCTATTCAATTCAAAATGACCATTTCAGCTCACTAATGCCTAGGATATCAATCTTTATGCATGCCATTTCATTTTCGATGACTTTCAATTTTCCTAGTTCATGTTGCTGTTGTTGTTGCTGTTGTTGTTGTTATGTGCCCTCGAGTCAGAGACCCGACTCATAGCAACCCTTCCTTGGGTTTCTGAGGCAGTATCACTATGGAAGTAGATTGTCCAGCCTTCCTTCTGAGGAGTGGCTGATGGGTTTGAACTGCCAGCATTCTGGTTAGCAGTTAAGTGCCTTAGGCACTACGCTACCAGAGCTCCTCCCATCCTAGTTCATAGCTCAGAGTTCATACAGTCCACATTCCAAATATTAATGAATGTTTGCAGCTATTTCTTCCCATTTGGAGTCATGCCACATCAGCAAATGAAGGTCCCAAAATTTACTCCATCCACGTCATTTAAGTTCCATTCTACTTTGAGGAGGCAGCTCTTCCAGTCACATTTTAAGTGCCTTTCAACCTGAGGGGATCATCTTCATATCTATCTATCTATTTACACATACATACATACATACATACATACATACATACATACATGGAAACCAAACCCATGTATACTTAAGACATGTCATTTAAGTGAAGCCACAAATGTAAATATATCTCATTAAAACTAGCCTTTATAAGAAGTAGGAGGATATTTAATTTTTTTAAAAAAATGAAAAAGCCTTTAATAATTATCAAGTTGAAATCCTTTTTTAACAGATGGAGAAATGTTACAGAGGGGGAGTGGCATGACCATCGTCTGCAGGCTAATAGGTAATAGAGCCAGGAGATGAGTCCAACTCTCCATTCACTCTTCTTTTCTACCTTCCTCACACTCTATGATGTCTTTCCCTACTTTTTGGCAGAGTTGGCTCGTGAAAACTCAGTATCACGGTTTATGCTTATTTCTCTAACATGTTGTTTTTGTTGTTGTTATGTGCCATTGAGTCGGACCCAACTCATAGCGACCCCTCCTTGGGTTTCCGAGGCAGTATCGCTACGGAAATAGATTGCCCAACCTTCCTTCTGAGGAGTGGCTGGTGGGTTTGAACCGCCAGCCTTCTGGTTAGCAGTCAAGTGCCTTAGGCACTATGCTACCAGAGCTCCCTTCTCTAACATAAGAACATGAAAACATAAAACTTCACCACACAAAACTGAAGTCTGCTAAGCTAAATAGAAACATTGCTTTGTTTTTTGTGCTTACCTCTTTGATTGTGGTATTTCTTCCCCTCCATGAAAACCACCATCTTCCTCCCTTTTTGGGCATCTTATCTCTCATGATAGATTCCACAGTGGCCTGTTTTAAATGGATGGTAACATAAATAATGGAACCAAAAAAACATCAACTTAGCACATTCAAACCAAAAGAAACACACATGCAAATAAAAGTAATACTAAAAGAAAACCAGAGAAAACACAACATACTGTTTGTGGATTAAAAATTTTAGAGAAGCAAAACCTAATGGTGTCCAAAATTACATTAAGATAACTTAAGCATGAAGACTTAAGAAGATGTTAAAGGAAAAAGCAAGCAACAAATAAAATACAACATAACAACAATAAGGAAAAAAAAAAAGAAAGCATTAAATATCATTAGTGATTAGTAAGGCCAAAAGTTTTCAAATTAAAGTGGTTTATAATACTGGTTAAGATACTGTCACCCTCAATATGATGATAACAAAATAAAAAATAAAATGATTAACATGGAGTATAGGATAAAAGTTTTAAACAAAAGGCAAAATGCATAGGATCTTTTTAGTAAGTGTAAATTTACAAATTTCTACAAACTGCATATTAATAATATTAATAGATGTGTTTGACTTAAAATCCCAAATATTAACAAGAAAATCCAGACTCCTAGCCTTTCATCTTAAAATAAATTAAAATCTTATAAGAAAAGATTATGTATTAATTAATAATTTTCTAAGCATTTCCAAAGGATAAGACATTTATCTGAAGAGCTAATTATAGGACCAGGGTAAATGTTATCTAATTCCTCCCCCTTCTCAGTTTCCAGAGCTATCTAGTAGCCAAAACCTCAACCAATAATGAAATATAGATTTAATCCTTTCAAATTAACAAATTGCAGATAAGTAGATAAATAATTCATATATTTAGCCTAAATGTGCTTCTTTTTATCATTTAAAAGATCCCTGACACAAAAGAAAATCTTGAATGTATAAAAAAGGAAGTAGGAGAATTCCTGAAACTGTCAATTCTCCTAATCCCACCTCAGTTTACCCATAAACGTAATACATCTCCCATTTTTAAAAGAAAAAAAAAACTAAATAAGTAAACACATCAAAGAAGCAGAACAGAAAGTCCAGAAACAAATCTAAATTCATAGAGAAATTTAATATATGATAAAGTTGTGATTATCTGTAAGTGAGAGACAGGTATTTAATACATGGTATTAGGGTTAATTAACAAGCCTTGGAGAGCTCTGGTGGCATAGTGCCTAAGGCATTTGACTGCTAACCAGAAGGCTGGAGGTTCAAACCCACCAGTCACTCCTCAGAAGAAAGATCAGGCAATCTACTTCTATAGCAATAACGCCTCGGAAACCCAAAGAGTGGTCGCTATGAGTCAGATCCGACTCCACGGCAGTTGCAAGGAGCCTTGGTGGTGCAATGGTTAAAGTGGTTGGTTGCTAAACAAAAGGTCAGCAGTTCAAATCCACCAGCTGCTCTGCAGGAGAAAGATGTGCCAATCTGCTTTAGTAAAGATTTACCAAAAACCAAAGTCACTGCCGTCAAGTCAATTCCGACTCATAGCAAACCCTCCCTGGGTTTCCAAGGCAGTATCTCTATGGAAGTAGATTGCCCAGCACAGCCTTGGAAACCCTATAGGGTTGCTATGAGTTGAAATCAGCGCAACAGTAATGAGTTTGGTTTTGGGGTTTGTTAGGATAATGCAATAGGACTTCATTAGTTGCCTCTTTAGATGCATTATCCCCTTTCTTGCCAACAGATCCCAAATTCTATTCAGGAATCAGCATGCAATATGCTCAGGGAAGACAGGCTCAATGCCAGTGGATGAATTCTGGTTGGCCAAGGCGATCTGGAGTCATTCCATTGTTTGGCCGAAATTGGTATGGGGTGATTATATGGCCTTTATACCAACGAAATATGAGAAGTCTGCCTCCACCCTCCTTATTTTGGATGTGGTTGTGTGAGGTAATGATGTGTGGCATAGTCATCTTGTGACCATAGAGGAAAAGCCAAGAAAATCATAGAGAAGGTAACCCAAGTCAATCAAATCTGAAACTACTGATCTCTATGGTTCTTATTATATAAGATAATAAACTCTTATAATTTAAGCCAGTTTTAGTCACAATTTCCTGCAACAAAAAAAACATTCTAACTGAATCAATAGCCAGCTGGAAAAAAAATTGATTTGGCTTCTTCCTTGCTCGTTATCCTCAAAATAAAATCAAGGTGTATCAAATTCATTCACTATCCCCAAAATAAAGCACAGATGGATCAAAGATCTAAAATAAAAGAAAGTATGAGAAAAAGATATGGGGGTACATTTTTATAGTTTTTGGAAAAGAGGAAAACCATTCTAAGTGTGACAAAATTTAGCTGCCTACTCAATAACTTTGTTTGGGTATCAATAGACAAGTCAAACTGCATGCCCAAATCTGATCTGAATACATCTAGAATCTGACCACCTCTCTTATTCATCACCATCTCTCACCTGGATATTGCAATAAATGCCTACTTCGTCTCTCTTCTTCTCTTTCCCTTTTCAGTCTATTATTAACGTAACAACCAGTGTGGTACTACTAAAACTTAAGTGAAATCATGTCACTATTCTCAAAATTCTTCAATGCCTGCCCATTTTATTCTTATAGAAAACCAAAAGAAAACCTTACTGCCATTGAGCTGATTTCAACTCAGCGATTCCCACTGGTTTTCCAAGGCTATAAATCTTTATGGAAACAGATTGCCTCATCTTGCTCCTGTGGAGCAGCTGGCAGGTTAGGACCACTGACCTACTCATGAGCATCCAAATGCCTTACCCACTACACCACCAGAGCTCATCCACATACAGATATCAGGAATTCCAATGTTTAGAGGTCTAGGAATCAGCAAAGCAGATAGACAAATGGCCTGAAAGGTAGGAAAGCAAGCTAGGATTTTCACTGGAAAACCAATAAAGAAAGTGTTCCAAGGAGAGAGGCATGACTCTCTGGGTCAAATGTTGCTGATGGGTTAAGTAAGATCAGAGGTGAAAATTGACTACTGTATTTATCAATATGGAGGTTACTGGTGACCTTGATAAGTGTTTTTGGTGATGTAAGGAGGGTAAGACATTGACTAGAGTGGGCTCCATGTGGAATATAAGTGAAATCAGGTACAGCCTTCAGTATGGGTTACATCTCAACATAAAGAAAACAAAATCCTCACAACTAGACCAATAAGCAGCATCATGATAAATGGAGAAAAGACTGAGGTTGTCAAGTACTTTATTTTACTTGCATCCACAATCAACACTCATGGAAGCAGCAGTCAAAAAATCAAATGAAGTATTGCATGGGCAAATCTGCTGCAAAAGGCCCCTTGAAAGGGCAAAGATGTCACTTCAAAGACTAAAGTGCATTTGACCTAAGCCACAGTATTTTCAGTTGCTTCATACACACGTGAAAGCTGGACAATGAATATAGAAGACCAAAGAAGAATGGATGCATCTGAAGTATGATACTGGTGAAGAATAATGCATATACCATAGACTGCCAGAAGAATAAATAAATCTGTCTTGGAAGAAATGCAGCGAGAATACTCCTTAGAAGCTAGGATGGCAAGACTTCACCTCTTGTATTTTGGTCAGGTTAGCAGGAGGGACCAGTCCCTGGAGAAGGATATCATGCTTGGTTAACTGGAGAGTCAGTGAAGAAGGGGAAGGCCCTCAATGAGATGGATGACACAGGGGCTACAACAATGGGCTCAAGCATAGCAACGACTATGAGGATGGCACAGGACTGAGTGGTGTTTTGTTGGAACCAACTAAACAGCACCTAACAGCAACAACAAAATGTAGCAAGTCTATCAAAGAGTCTTGCTATTAAAGAAAGAAATTAATTAGGATAGTAGTTGGGTTAACAGAAGATTTGAGAAGGATGAGACAAATTACATATATATATCTATAGATACAGATATAGATATATATGCCAATGGTATTGGATCTAGTTATTGTGAGGATTATTCTGATTGGCTCGAGTAGACAGATAAATACTGATGATGCAGAAGAGAGAGAGGAGAACTGCTGAAGCAGTAGCCCAAGTGGGCATGATGGCCTTAGTCTGAAGCACTGAAAGATCATCATTAACAGGAGATAAGCCAAAGTATACACAGATGTAGGTAAGGGGTAGATACAGAGGAATTTTTCTTCTGATTGCTTCAATATTCTCAGTGAAATATGAAGGAAGGTCATAAGCACTGAGTAAGGAATAGGGAAGGTGATATTGGAGAGTGGAGGAAAGAAAAGTGTGAAACAGTCATCCGGGAGATTTGGAGAGTAAACGGAGGACTATGACAGCAGGCAGGAGAGCATTAAGGATCACCTGACACCATTCAGCATGGTGTGGTGGGTTATATGACCTGTAGAGCCAGAAAGTTCAGAAGTGGTAGCAAAAGAATGAGACATTTGAAATTAAGGCTACTGAGGGGTAAAAGTTACCAATAGCAACAAAGTCAAGGGACAATGTTGGTAATGTTTGTCAGAGAAAAGACAGAGAGCTACTCCTATGCTTACTGCTCACAAACCCTCACTAAGGGTACTAAGGATACATTTCTGGAAAAACAACTTAAACCTCTAACAGAAAGATGCAATAAACAACGGCAAGCAGATAAACTAATGAAGCTAATTAAGCACTAAGCCTATGAAGCCATGCCAGTAGTGACTATTTTAAGGAGATTTATAAACAAGGTAGAACTCAAATATTGAGTATTAATTAAAAGGAAAAAGGGGCAATCAGTTTCCTGATTGAGGATGGTCCAAGATCTTATATTAGCCATAAAAAAGGTAAGTTATCTTTAGATTATAAGTAAATTATGCTTATTAGAAATATTAGTAATAATCTCTAAAATATATAAAAGCCCAACAAACAAAGAGGAGTAACTTAACTAAATAAAACTTGATCAGTCCAATAAAAAACAAAAAAGGAAGGAAAATAAAGTAAGGGCAGGGGGAGGAGGAACACCACGGTTTAAAAAGCATGAAAAACGGTAGCAATAAATCCAAATATATTCATATTTACAACAAATGTAAGTGTATTAAACATACCAGTTAAAAGACAGATATTCACTATTTTATCTTTTAAATATCCACTATATGGTATTCATAAGAGATGCCTTCAAAATGTAAGAACACAGAGTAGAGACTGAATGGATAGGAAAAAGCACACTAGTGAAATAATTCAAAATTCAAAAGAAAGCTACTATGGCCAAATTCATATCAAATAAAACAGGCATTAAGGCAAAAAGAATTTTAGGGATAAAGAGAATACTACATCATGATAAAAGGAAGATTTCAGCAGGGTGCTGTAAGAATTCTGAACTTATAAAGACCAAAAAATATAACTTCAAAACATAAAAAGATGTTTTGACAATAAGATGACAGGGGAAATTATAGTTACCCTTAAAAAAAAAAAAAAAAACCAAAAAAAGTATAAGACCTTTACCAAAAAAATTACAGAACTCTTCCTTGCAGCATGTGCCTACTCTCACATGCAGGCTAGGAGCTGTCCAGGCCCGGTGCTGGCATCTGCAGCAGAGAAGAAGGCATACAGCTTACTTCCTGGATGAGGAAACACCTGACACTTTTGGTGTCTGATGTGCCTCCTCCGTGTACCTGACCCCTCTGGCTGCTCCAACCCTTCAACTGTGAACCTGTTCTCTCTGCATTAACCACTTGCTCTGACCATCCTGGCATCTATCTACTCTACTCCAACCTGTGCCCCTAGCTTGGTGTTAGGAAATGAATCATGGAGGCAGGACATGGCCCAGCACTGCCAAAATTCATAAGTTTTGCCTTGATAAGGAGGAAGGCATTCATTCAAGGTGCAAGAAAGAGGTGCAAGAGAAACAGATTTAAAACACTTAAAGTGAATGAACTTCAAAACAGTATAATATAATTAACTTTTTTGGGTTCTGAAATAAAAGCCAGTATCCAACTGCCCATATGAACCCACCCATCATTTTCAGCATTCCCTTTCTTTCTCGTGTTAAAGCTCACCTTTGGCAAAGGTTTCTGGAAGGCCTGCATTGCCAGGAGTAAAGGTGCTGCTGTTGTCCAATTGTAATATCTAGCATGGCAGAGAAATGAAACGGATGTCAAAAAATCAAGGCTCGGGCTAAACAACTTTGTAAGTCATGAGAACCAGTCATGGAAAGCTATGTTGTTGTTATGTGCCATTGAGTCGGACCCGACTCATAGCGAGCCCTCCTTGGGTTTCCGAGGCAGTATCACTACCGAAGTAGATTGTCCAACCTTCCTTTCAAGGAGTGGTTGGTGGGTTTGAACTGCCAACCTTCTGGTTAGCAGTCAAGTGCCTTAGGCACTATGCTACCAGAGTGCCTATGGAAAGCTATGGAACTCCAGATAGGTCCTTAAAGAGACCAATACTGTTTCTAATATGCTCCAGCCCTATCCAGCCCCTGCTAGTGGCTTCCCACCTCTACCTAACCCCACCGTACTCACATTAAGAGCCCAAGCAGCAGCCATGACACAGTATCACACAGACGGAACTACCAGGAGACACCAGCAGCTAGCTGGAAAGCAGCCCTAATTCCACTATGCTATTGGTGCCTCAAACCACCCATGTGCTTATGGCATTTCTTGCCACATTTCAAGGAAAAGGCAGCAAAAGTTAACCTAAGGTAACAAGTAAAAACATCCCTTTACTTCAAATAAGGAAGTTTTACAGGAGGTGGTATATGGAGTCTACTCTGCATATCTTTGCACTATATGGGGTATAAGTCCCACAGGCTACGTTTTGTGACTTCACACACTTAGTTATAAAATCTAGTACAAACGCATTCTAAAATCCACAGGATCACCAGCTACCTGAGCCTACCAACTATAAAGGAATACAGAATTCTGCCAGAAGTGAAGAGACAATAATTAATTTTAACAAATACTTTGTATTTTTTTTTCAAGTTTAACATCTGGGTCTCTGTATTTCAAAAAATGAAACTGAAATAATATCATGTTGCTGCCAAAGTGACTTTTGGGAGGTACTTACTTATTCCCAATCTTTACCACAAGATTAGGGTCATCAATGATAGCTGGGTTGTCCACAAACTGTTGATAGGACACGGCTTGTTCCAAAAATGCTTCTGTAAAAGCAATCACAGAGGATAAGGGAAAAAACTAAAAAGGAAATTAATATTAAAAAAAACAGGCATATTTTTCATTTTCATCACTAATGTTTTCCCAGAGTTCATGCATTCCAATTGTGTGGATAATTCCATAAAAGGTAGTTGTAATGGGGGCTTCAGTTCATTTTGGAGCAACATCTGCATAGAGAAGAAGTGTGGTTGGGGCACCATCTAAAGATGTGAGGGGATATGTACCCTTATCTGAGGTAGACAGAAGGTATGTGAAAAATACAGCAGCATATGTGTCTGCAGAAGCAGGTTAATGGTTAGTTAAGTAGAACTCTGAAGACAGACTCCCTTGGTTTGAATGGCATTTACTGATGTGACCTTGGACTAGTGATTAATCTCCCCAAGTCTCAGTTCCCTCATCAGCAGAACGAATAACAACCTTGTCTACTTCCTAGAGATATTTTAAGGATGGATAAGTAACGAACGTAAAACACAGTATCCTCCGTAAAGTAAGGATTCAGTAAATGTTAGTGGTTGTGGTGATCATTACTGTCACCTGCAATAAGTTTGGAGGATGGTAGGAGCCCCTGCCTGGCTGATCCTATTCAGCCTCACTGCAGAAGAAGCCCCAAACTCAGAGGTATTAAGAACACTCTCCCACCAGCAGGCATAGTAGTTTCACCGCCCCACCCTGAGGGCCTGGTCCTCAGCTCTGTAACCTAGGCTGTGTAAAGAGCTTTGGACTAAGGGCTTGATTTCCACTCTGCTTCCCCCATTGATCTGAGCCATGCCTTAAGACTTGACTGGGGCTCTGACCACTTCCCTGGTCCTAATTAGTTCCTACTACTTCCCTGGGGAGATTCCATTTGCCCTAAATGGAACCCAAAACACAGCAGACGTTAGTTACATACTGAGAACTGCCTCTATCCAGGGGAAAAAAACTCCTTGGTCATGATCTCAACCCAGATGGCCTCAACATGTACACTTAGAATCCAAATTTAGACTGTTAGGTACTCTCTTGAAGGCTCTTGGCTATGAAAATATGGCATCATCTGTGTGAACAGGGCATTCACAGATGCCCAAAACCCATGAGATGATACTAGATAACTATACCCTTTCAGCCTCAGTGCTGCCACCCAAAGCCTCACCCATCTCTGTGTGTTGAAGGAGGGAGGGTGTTGATGGGACATTGGCCTCCTCTCACCTCCAACTGGTAAAAGAGAGCTTGCCACTTAATGACCTCAGAGTGGTATCAGAGAAATAGAAACATAATGAAGCTGGGTTATTAGTGTTAGGAACACTTCATGAAATAGACTAAAGCAACTAGCTCCATTAAGCAAGCTTGTTTCAGTTCATCCTCAATAAAGGTTAACTGGTACAGGCACAAGAATAAAAGGCCCCAGCTTTCAAGTTACCTCAGAATGGAGATAGGAGTCTATAATGACATCCCTGGTTAGGAAGAGAAAAATGGTGGTAGCTCATGAATGGCTAAAAGAAGACATACATGACCTTGGCCTCATTCCTGACAGAAATACAGACTAAGGAGGCATAAAAAAGAGAGACAAATGGTGGTGTAAGGGGATGAGGGAGAGCAGCTAGTTCTAGTTAAAGAATTAATCACTTGACAATTGCTAACTGCATTAACCGGGAGGCTCTGGCACACATTACCATGGAACTCTTGTGAGACTGGAAAAATCGTTGTTACAAATATGGTGGATGCTACGAATTACCATATTTTTACACAAATAACACATACATTATACGGGTCCCCCCAACCCTGACCGTGCAGCCCTCTCACGTGTTAGTTTCCTACATGCACTATGCATGTTATATGCATGGGTACATTTCTGTGGCGCATTATATGTGAAAGTACAGTGATGGATCACCTAAGCCAATCCTAATAGCACTCTTCAAATCCAACTATTAACTATTCCTAGACTTCCTCAAACAAACTTAGACCTCCCTCTCTCCTCCAAAACCACACTGCATTTTTCGTGCACTTTCAAAGCAGTGTGTTTTGATAATAATGATATTCCAGCTAGACTGCAGTTTGTGGGCAGACAACTCTGTGTCACTGGCATGGGGTTCAGGAGATACACATGATGCTCAACAAACACCACATGACCTCGGATAAGCAAAACACTACTGAAGAAGAACAATGCAGGAGGTCTCACGCTGCTGGATCTCAAAACCTACTATACAGCCACAGTAATCAAAACTGCCTGGTATTAGAATAATGACAGACACATAGACCAATGGAATGGAACTGAGAACCCAGAAATAGATCCATCGACCTATGGTCAACTGACATTTGACAAAGGGCCAAAATCCATTAAATGGGGAAAAGAATGTTTGTTTAAGAAATGGTGCTGGCAAAACGGGATATCCATTTGCAGAAAAATGAAACAAGATCTGTACCTCACACCATACATAAAAACTAACTCCAGATAGATCAAAGACTTAAATGTGAAACCTTAAACTATAGAGTTCCTCAAGGAAAAACTAGGGGCAAATTTGGGGACCATAATATATGTCATAAATAGACTATCAAGCATAACCCAAAATCCATAAACAGCAGAAGAGAAACTAGATTAATGGGACCTTCTAAAAATCAAATTTTTATGTGCTTCCAAAGACTTCTCCAAGAGTCAAAAGAAAACCCACAGAAAAAATATTTGGCAATGACATACCTGACAAGGGACTTATCTCTACAATTTATAGAAAACTCCAACACCTCAATAACAAAAAGACAAATAATCCAATTAAAAATGGGCAGAAGACATGAATAGACACTTCACCAAGGAGGATATTCAGGCAGCCAACAAACATGAAGAAACGTTCATGATCATTAGCCATTAGAGAGATGAAAATCAAAACAACAAGATACCATCTTGCTCCAGCACTAGTAGCACAGTTCTACAAGACAGAAAATAACAAATGCTGGTGAGGATGTGGAGAGATTAGGACTCTCATACACTGCTGGTGGGACTGTAAAATGGTACAACCACTGTGGAAAGCAGTATGGCGATTCCTTCAAAAGTTGGAATTAGAAATACCATTTGACCCAGCCATTCCATTACTAGGTATATATCTGTAAGAACTGAGAGCCATGACAAGAACAGACATATGCACTCCCATGTTCATCGCAGCACTATTTACAATAGCCAAAAGATGGAAACAACCTAGGTGTCCATCAACTAAAGAACAGATAACCAAACTATGGTACATACACACCAATAGAATACTTGTTGTTATGTGCCGTCGAGTAGGACCCAACTCATAGTGACCCCTCCTTGGGTTGCCGAGGCAGAATCACTACGGAAATAGATTGCCCAACCTTCCTTTCGAGGAGTGGCTGGTGGGTTTGAATCACCAGCCTTCTGGTTAGCAGTCAAGTGCCTTAGGCACCATGCTACCAGAGCCCCTAATGGAATACTATGCAACCCTAAAGAATAACCTAGAATCTGCAAAACACCACATAAGATGGATGAACTTGGAGGACATTATGCTGAGTGAAATAAGTCAATCACAGAAGGACAAATACTGTATTAGTCCATTATTGTAAAAATCAAGGAAAGGTTTATCTATGGAAAGAAATTTTCTTTATTGGTTACCAGGGGTGGGAGGGGAGGGAAGGAAACACTGTTAGATAGGTAGAGAGAAGTATTGATTTGGGTGAAGAGAAGGGCAGTGCACCAAATGTGTATGATCAATATGGTGGCATTGAGAAAGAGGAAGACATAGAGGGGTACATGGGAGGTACAGACGACAAAGATGAACCCTTTTGCACACACAGGACTGCATTGTCAGTGAAGGCAAACATGGGTATACGGGTGGATAGATGGGTAGACAGGATGAACTATTAGATATGTCTATGAAGTAGGGAGTGTACCCAAGACCATGTATAGGGTTGGCAGACAATGGTCCTATAAGTCTATTTGCATGATCTGAATTCCCAGGTATATAGCAGAGCTGACAAGGAACAAGGTTGTAGTCACTTCTTGGCTGCAGCCAGCTACTCAGAGGGACTGAGTAGTTGAACCTGTGGGTTTGAGATCATAGTCACAGGGTACATCGAGCTCACCTGGCATAACATCCTACACAAAACATTATTCCACCTCCTACTTTGGCAAGTAGTGACTAGGATCTTAAAAGTTTGCAAGCAGCCACCTAGATGCAGCGATGGGTCTTTCCTTGTCCAGAGCAAAGAAGAATGAAGAGAACCAATGATTCATGGAAACAATTAGTCCTAGCGACTGGTACACCATGCGATCTGCAGCCTATATGACTATGAGACCAGAAGAACTAGATGGTGCCCGGCTACCACTGTCTACCACTCGGGGGGATCTATGTAGGAGATCCTGGATGGAGAGGGAGAACAACATGGAAGAAAACTCAAAATCATTTGGAAAAAAAAAGGGGGGAACAAGGTTTGCTAGTCTGATAGAGCCTTGTGGAACCACTGAGACTATGGCCTCTAGCTGCCCTTCTGGTCTGGAATTAAACCCACACCTGTGGTTTCCAGCCAAACAAAAGACAGGCATATGAATTGAACTTTTACCTGAGGTAGATACACTCCTTGGAGAGAACAATCATGGGAGAAAGAAGAGCTGTTTATGCATAGGAAGAGAGCTTAGGGGGCAGGGGTACATGGAGGATGGACACAGGGAAGAGGTAACTGTCGGGAGGAAGTGGGAGGAGAGCTGTTGCGTTGTGGTGAATTGTGATCAATGTCATGAGACAAAGTGTATGTGAACTGCTGTATGGAAAGTGAATTTGCTCTGTAAATTTTCACTCAAATCACAATTAAAAAAAAAAAAAAAAGATAGTAGGGAGGAAAAAAAAAAACACCACATGGCCATGAATGGCTGAATACACCCAAAGTAACACCAATGGCTTTCTTGTTACCTGAAGCCATGTACAAACAACAGAACTCTGAGGTCAGCAAAATGCAAACCTAAAACATGTGAGTCATGAAGGAATAATAAGTCATAGCGAGCTACAAACAAAAAGCTACTTTTATAATGAACTAAGCTGGTTTTCTGGAAGTTCTGACCAGTTGCCACAAGAGGGTGCTCTTGGCTTAAAAACTAGATTCAATCCTGTGGTTGCAGTACCTTTAGTAATCTCCCGGTTGTCACTGAGGCCTCCGCAGAGGGAGATAGCAATGGATGGCAGGTCCCTCATGCCATCCGAAGTGCTCTCCACACCACTGTCAATGCCAGAACTGCCCACGGACTGCGGGGACTGGTTGGCTGACCGGGCTCCACTGTCACTGGTATGTTTGGCAACCCCAGAAGGATCTCCACTGGGAGGACAAAAAATGGAGGATGTATTGAGAATTTCTTCCCCCACCCAGGCCTTACATAGACCTCAAATTACTCTCTGGCAATCTGCTATGCCTCAGAGTAGCAAATAATTTCATCTCAGGACAGACTTCATTAAAGCACCATGATAAAGAAAGAAGTAAAATAAATTCACCTTCAGAGGGACAATTATTTTTAACCAATGATATGGTCTTGTATCCCCTCCCAAGCCCATGTGAAATAAAGATAAAGCAAATTGTCTTAAGGATGAGCTGAAGATGAGACCCCAAGGATCATGTGCAAATCTCTCCTGGTGAGGGAAGACTGTGCAACTGCCTATTTTTTGACAACTGTTTAGATAGATAGTGGCGCAATGATCACACAGACAAAACCTCAGGCTCATGGTGGAAGACAGCCTGGTCCCATGTTCCTGTTCTACAGGCAGAAAGCCAGCTATGTGCATGAACACACCGAGAGATGAGCACACACTTCAGTATGTGTATACAGACTCAATTCTTTCCACTGGGTGTTTTTCATGGTGAAATATGAGCCTCTCACTGCCTTTTCTTACTAGCATTCTAATCAAACAGAGGGGGAAGAAAGGTAATATTCAGATTATAGAAAATGATATAAGGAATAAAAAGAAAAGTTTACTTCTTGGGAAAATACAGGGCAGCCACTTCAGGATCCATATCTGTGAGGTCATCCAAATAGACACCATCAGCACCAAGATGTCTGCTTCGCTTATCTAAATTAAAGGATAAACGGATCAAGTCAGAAAACTCATCTCCTAAAACAAACTCCAGGAGCTCTGGTACTATAGTGCCTGAGGCACTTGACTGCTAACCAGAAGGCTGGCAGTTCAAACCCACCAGCCATTCCTCTGAAAGAAGATGGGGCAATCTACTTCCATAGCGATACTGCCTCAGAAACCCAAGAAGGGGTCACTATGAGTCAGGTCTGACTCGACAGCACATAACAACAACAGCAAAACAAACTCTTAGACTCTGAGTGTCTCTAGAAACAGTATTGAAACACAATGTGAAACTTTGCTCAGAAACACCCAAACTGGCCCAGAATCCCAGAAATGAGAAGTTAGCACAGCATGATGGTAGTCAGACTGCCCAGGTTTGCATATATTAGCTCCATCATTCACCAACTGTGTGACCTTGATCAAGTGACTTAACTTGGCTGAGCTCAAATTTTCATCTGTAAAGTGCCTGAAGGATACTAAGCACTCAATATATTGAAGATATTACTATTATTATCATTCTTATTTAATGATAAAAGACTTCATTTGGCACTTCCCCATCAGTACTTCAAGTGCAACACCCTAAACTGTGCATTGTCAGTCACTGAACACCATGATTTCAGGTTTCCTCTTTACTTCTAGCATGTAATTTGTTAATTCAAATCTAGAATACTGTACAAAGCTACACGGTTAACAAAAATTAGGCTTGATATCATAGGTATTGACATGCAAACAGTTCATTAAACTAATATTCCCAGAGCATTGCTATGTGCCAACCAGGAGCTCTGGTAGTGTAGTGCCTAAGGCACTTGACTGCTAATCAGAAGGCTGGTGGTTCAAACCCACCAGCCACTCCTCAGAAGGAAGGATGGGCAATCTACTTCCGTAGTGATACTGCCTCGGAAACCCCAGGAGGGGTCGCTATGAGTCAGGTCCGATTCGACGGCATGTAACAACATGTGCCAACCACCGTTCTAAGCACCAGATACAAAGGTAAACTCTACAGAAAAGATTCTTGATCTCAAGATTATATATTCTAGCAGGGGAAGTGAGTCAGGGAATAATACCTACAAATAAATGATCATTTAAAACGGTAACAAATGGTATGCAGAAATTAAAACAGGAACTCTTGTGGCATGGTGGATAAGGCACTTATTTGGCTGCTAACCAGAAGGTTAGTGGTTCAAACCCAGCAGCTGTTCTGTGGAGGGAAGATGGAGCGATCCACTTCTGTAAAGATTTACAGCCTCAGAAACCCAATGGGGGTCACTATGAGTCAGAATTGACTTGATGGCAGTGACTTTGGTTTGGTTTTAGAATGGGGCAATCCTACTTCCGTAGTGATACTGCCTCGGAAACCCAAGGAGGGGTCACTATGAGTCGGGGCCGACTCGACGGCAAATAACAACAACAACAACAAAGAGTGACAAAGGGCAAGGGAAAAGGGGGCTAAGGTTAGCTCAATAAGTAATTTTCTAAAGTTCACTTTTATGAAGTCCCACAGAGCGATGAAGAGGACTTCTGCCTGCCTGATGGCTTTGAGCACATTAGTGCCTCTGCCTCTCAGTATCCCTAGTGTGTAAAATGAAGACGTTTATTACATGATCCTCAAGGCCTCTCGAGGTCTGATTTCCTAATACTAAATTCTGAACATCAATATATTCAGCAAAAGAGCACAGACTGATCATGATAAATGTTATGGTTCAGTCCCTATTCTGATTTATCTTAAACTTTGAAAGAAAAGACTGCAATCTCTTAAGTACAAAACTTTGCACAGAAAAAAGCTGGGATGCTCCAGCCTTTGTACCTTTTTTCCTAGAAGGGGAGTCCATCTTGTTTGCTGTCTGGGTTAAAATGGCAGAGGAGGGTTTGTGTTCTTCACTTGTAGATAAAGGTGCAGCTGCTGCTCCCAAGGCCTCAACATCTTCTTCATTCACAAACTGCATTTCAGTCTGAGGCTTGTTCTGGTCTAAAAGTGGCTGTTCAGAAGGACCTCCAGTCAATGTTGGGGACTGGTCACTAAAAGTTTCTGAAGATTCACTCTGAATGGCCTGAAAGTGCATTTTATCAGACATTTTTCTATTGATCAATGGGCTGGATTCTTTCATCTTGTGTAGAGACGACTAGACCAAAGAAGGAGCAGGGAGGGAAAAAGAGAGAAGGTCAGAGCACCATGCAAACAGAAAAACTGAGTTAACCAAAGGAAAATAACAAGCAGTCAATAACTAATCTATGGTACTGCCCGCGATAGGAAGACACTTAAGCTTCAGGAATGACCTGCTGGTTTCCAGACTTACCTGGATGTCTACAAACCAAGATAATGAAACATTCATATAAAACATCAACTAGAATAGAAGTGAGAAAGTAGAAGTAGTAATGCCCAACAAGTGGAAGCAACTGATGGGTTAGAAAGTGGGAAGAGGGCATTCCCTTCTATACTGGACCCTACAGCTTCGATCACAGCTTAAAATAATGCTACAGTGTATCTATGGTTAGAATTATTTTGCCAATAAAAGTAATGGGTTTGTAATAGATTTATAGACAGTTAGCTGGGTTAGCACTATAACTTGTGGCACAGAAATCAGCATTTTCCGTCAAACCTAAATATAACCAAGAAAGAATGAATTCACCACTTTGGCCTCAGCAGATCTATTCTCTAAAAAGCTACCCACCCTGCCTCTCTGTAGGAATGTTTTCAATCTTCTTCACCAACTCATTCAATCATTCATTATTACAAATGTTTATTGGGGATGAAAGAGGCTATATAGCCTTTTCTAAGGGTCTTATAGTAATAATAATAATAAAAGCCTGCAATAATATAATTCAAGATGCTTTGCACACATTAGAATATGAAATAAAATTTCTTATAAGAAAAGACCATGCCTATTTTGTGTTTTTACAAGCCTATCTATTGCACCTATTACACACTTGCATGTACCCTCATTCCATTTCACAGGTAAAGAAGCTGAAACTCGGCAAGTAAAAGGAGAAACAAATAGTACGTGGTACAGCCAAGGAAAAAGAAAGCTAATATTTTTAGTGCCTAATATGTGACAGATATTTACATACATTACTTCATTTAACCTCTCCACAACTCTGAGCAGTATCTACTGCTTTCTCAGTTTACAGATAAAGATACTGAGGTTCAGAGAAGTCAAGTATTTGCCCACAGCCACCCGGCTAGCAAGTAATGGAGCAGGAATTTAGACCTAGGACAATATGTCTCCTCGGTCCTCATTCTCTCTACAACATTCAGCTGCTTCTCTTCTCTTTCTGGAGATTCCCAACAAGGGGCAAATTCAAGGGTCTGCCTACAATTTAAAAAATAAAAAACCCAAAGCCATAGAGTCAATTCTGATTCATAACAACTCTGTAAGGCACAGCAGAATTGCCCTATAAGGTTCCAAGGCTATAAATCTTTACCAAAGCAGACTGCCTCGTCTTTCTCCCACAGAGTGGCTAGTGGATTTGAACCACCAAACCTTTTGGTTAGCACACAACAGCTTTAACCACTGTGCCACTAGAGCTCCTTCTACTAATAATAAGGGTACAAAAACACTTACTACTTAATGAAGTAAAGCCTTAAAATTTCCTGACTTTGTCAGACCCTTTCATTTTTTTTTTTTTAATTGTGATTTGGGTGAAAGTTTACAGAGCAAATTCACTTTCCATACAGCAGTTCACATGCTTTGTCTCACGACATTGACTACAATTTACCCCCAGGCAACAGCCCCCCTCCCACTTCCTCCCGATAGTTACCACTTCCCTGTGTCCATCCTCCAAGTACTCCTGCCCCCTAAGCTGTCTCCCTGTGCATAAATAGCCCTTCTTTCTCCCATGATTGTTCCCTCCGAGTCTATTTACCTCAGGTAAATGTTCAACTCATATGCCTGTCTTTTGTTTGGCTGGAAGCCACAGGTATGGCTTCAATTCCAGACCTGAAGGGCAGCTAGGGGCCATAGTCTCAGTGGTTCCACCAGGTTGTATCAGACCAACAAACCTGCCCCGTTTTTTTTTCCCAAATGATTTTGAGTTTTGTTCCACGTTGTTCTCCCTCTCTACCAAGGATCTACTACATAGATCCCCCTCTGAATGATTGACAGGGGTAGCCAGGCACCATCTAGTTCTTCTGGTCTCATAGTCATATAGGTTGCAGATCGCATGGTGTATCAATCACTAGGATGAATTGTTTCCATGACTCTTTGGTTTTCTTCATTCTTATTTGCTCTGGACAAGGAGAGACCCATCGTTGCATCTAGATGGCTGCTTGCAAGCTTTTAAAATCCTAGTTGCTACTCGCCAAAGTAGGAGGTAGAACAATGTTTTGTGTAGTATATTATGCCAATTGAGCTTGATGTCCCCTGTGACTATGGTCCCGAGCCCACAGGTCCCTCTAGGTAGCTGGCTGTGACTAAGAAATGACTACAACCTTGTTCCTTGTCAGATCTACTGTACACCTGGGAATTCTTACAGAACATACAAATACACCTTTAGAATAGACCCTTTCATTTTTGCTCCATTAACCTTTCCCAGGGCTCTCTCAGATTTCTCTCTCTGTGAGGCACACAAGACCACATAAACTTCAGCTTTCACAACTCACTTGGCCTCTCTTTCAAAGGGCCCAGCGTCTAGGGTTCTCATCATGTAATTTCTCACTAGTTATCACTCACTATCAGAACTGGAGCTATGACATATTGTTAATTTATGTCTTCAGTATACCAGGATTTATGTATAATTGTTTTTTAAAAAATTTACATTTAACTGTGATATAAAATGTAAATGTTAAAATTAGGGTAGTCTCATGAAGTTCTGTTTAAAATAGATAAATGCCATGATGCTTCTTTATAATGTTAGTAAGGCAAGGAAAAAGCAATGCTGGTGTTCAACACGAAGATTAATACATTTTTATTTACCTGTGTTCCATATCTGTGATATGATGACTGCATATAACGTAAGCTGTTACAATAGAAATCTATATGTATGCTAGAATTGAAAAAAAAAATCTGGCATAATTCAACTAACCTTTGCAGCTTGTGGCAATTCTCCCCAAAGCCAGAGCATTTCTGGGTTATTCTTCTGCATTGTTCTATCCACGGACTTACTGACCAGTTCGGAATCACTTTTGGGTGTTGAAGGCCGGGAACCTGAAGGACTTAAAAAAAAAACACACATCCATGATTAAGGCAAGAAAAGAAACTTTTTGTTGTTGCTGTTAATGTTTTTGGCCCAGATTCATAGTTCAAATAGCCCAGAAAACGCACTCAAGCTGTTGTCCCCTCATCATCACAGCTTCATAAAATACCCCTTCTATGACTATCAGAGCACGAGTCCATGGGGAAGGTGCTCCTGATTTGAGTAATCCCACCCAAACCTGCTGCCAAAGTTAAGTAGAGAAGACGAGAAAAAGAAGTAGCCTAGAAAGGAAAATTAAGACAGAAAGTTATGAAAAGAGAAAGGATAAATGAGGTTTTTTACCTCAAAACCACCATCTGTCCCCACTTCATCTCAAGCTCACCTGTCCTACATTCTCAGCTTCTAGAAAGCTGCAGAAAGGTACTTGGTCATCTTGGACAAGCACCCATTAAAATCTATGTTTGAAATATCTTCAAATCTGCACTAGCTCTGAAAACAGGGACTTGTATCATATGCCAGCTTCACAAATACCAGATACCATAAATGAACTTGCAAATGCAGCAGAAATCTCAAAGCTGAGATTTTAAAAGATAGTATCTATTCCAGAAATACTTTAAAGACAGACCAATTTGCTAAGGCTCTTTCTGTAACAACATATCACAATATTTATTTCTCAGGCCAACTTTTAAGTGGTTATTAGAACTTCTATTTTCACCTCTATGTTTTCTGTATTTTTGCTCATAAAACCTGAACAGTCTTATATTTCTGTCCAGCAAAGTAACTAGCTAAAAGTAACTTCTCAAAGATTCTCACAGTATTTTAAAAAAAAGATATAGACTAGAAAAAAAACAAAAAAGTTAGTTATATCTTGTCTTTATCCTCCTGCATTATTTTCTCTTGAGTGATTAGATGGCAGAGTTTTTTTTAAAAAAATAAAGTTACCACAGTTTTCCTTTTACATACTTTCAAAAAAGAAAAAAATACTAAACTCACTGCCATCAAGTCAATTCTGACTCACAGCAACCTCCACTGAGTTTCCAAGCCTGTAAATCTTTACAGAAGCAGAGCAGCTGGTATGTTCAAACTACCAATCTTCTAGTTAGCAGTCAAATGCCTTAACCACTACACCACCAGAGCTCTTTCACTCTTTCAAAGTCCTTATATATTCTCTTCAACTATCTAGCATTGATGTGCTTGGTCTCATCTGTTTGAGTTAGATTTCAACTTCAATAGACCTGAATACAACTTTCTAGTCAGTATGAGGAAAGTTCATTGATGACACATACCTTGTAGCAAACAAGCAGAGATCCTTCAATGGTTAAATTGATCCTGAATCTTTAGTCAGGCCATTTGGAACAGACTAACTGCTTTCTCTTCTTCATTTGACACTAAGGTGTATATAGGCTTGTCTCTTCTTCCTAGGTGCTCACTGCACACCAATCTAATCTATGTAAAATGGGATATTGCTACAATGCGTGAAAAGGAGGATCCTGAGCTTTTATAATGGGATCCCTCCCCTCCTCCACCCCCTACCCACCCACACACACATCATTCACATTGTTCTGACCCTTCCGAAGAAAAATGAGATGGAATACTGACCACTCAACAGCAACAGATCTGAGTAGTAACGTACTACCTGCTTTCAAACTCTCTTATATGTGTATATATATATATATATATA